CTTCCTTCTACATTTTCTAGTTGAGGAGATATTTGCGTCGAGGATCTATCGAGGATGGATCTCGGCCACCTAAAAGCCGCTCCCTTCTTCACCATTGCAAGTAATTCGTTGGCAACGCTCGAAATGTGTCTAGAATAATTCTCCAACATAAGCGACAAGAAAAGGGCAATCGTCATCGTCCGATCTCGTCTCAGTATAGGCCATGCATCCGACCTCCACTCAAGTTGTAGAATCTATTGAAAGGTGTTATACATATGATGATGACCTGTTGACAGAAACTGCATTGTAGTAAACACATTTCGTAACTCCTGTAACCTAAGGAACAGCTTCATTTGCCCAGGGTCTTTCCAGAACTATTGCCGTTTTTGCGACACCTCCTAACAACTGTGTCATTCTCAACGAGAGGGCGAGGGAGCGTGCCTGGTGCCTTTGCAATGTGTACATATACACTGCGGAGATGCACTTTCATTCTTTGTACTGCTTTCAAATACGCCCTTCTCATGAAGGTAGAGGAATGGAGCGACTGAACCTGCAAAGAATATTTTATATCATGTTTTCTCACATATCCTTGTTTTCTGCTGCGCTACACCCTCCCTCCTATCTGCACCACGATGCCACTGACGTTACTGACCCCCAAGAGTACGACCCCCATGACCCACCCTGACAAATACGACCCCCCTGTCGAGGATTTCCTCGACCGATATTCACCCTGGTCTGACGAGCTCCATGCGCCTTTGTCGCGCACTTTCAAGCGGCAAAAGGGGCGCGACATCAACGCTTGTCCACCTGTCTACTACCCCCGGGATGGAACAGGCGAGCGCCTAATCCCGGAGCGTGCCTTTAACCTAAGTCTTCTGTTGTTTAGTTGGTGTCCAGCTCACGGGCAACCGTAAAACTAATATAGATGTCTCGATTAATGGCTTAAAGGCATGCCCCAGGATCGCATTGGTGTGGCTCTTGCACACGAATGCGAATGTATTGGTGCGAAGTGGGCCGGCAGTAAAGAAAAAAGGAAAAGAATCCGTCGAAAACGCTCAGGTTAAGGGCTCACTCACCTTCCTAATCGGCTGTGCTAAGGGAATGAGAGACTAAGCGCGGAGAGGAGAGTATGAGGCGAGAGAGCGCTACAGATGAGAGAGCGCCAGACAACAGCCTGATAAGAGAAAAAAATCTGCAGCTTCAGCAGCTTACTTTGCAAGGCCCAAGCGCTCTTGTCGGTTGGTTTCCGTGCACGGGAACGCCACATTTGTGATTGTCCTCTAGGGGTCTATACTACAGACCGAAGGGAAGCGTTCACACGACCTCTGCCTGGGTTGTGCCTTTAAAAAATATATAAATTTTTATTACCCCACCCATGCAAGATCATGTGTCACTTCTAGTTAATGAGGTATATTACGTGCTTTTCTAGAAGTGATCAACCATTTTGTTAATAATGTACATCTGTTGATTCGAGTAGGGTTCAATACAGTGACATCGCAGATCAAGTGGGGATGAAGCCGTGTTTTTAAAGATTCGAAACAACTCTGTTGTGACCATCTCATAATTCCAATCTAGACAATGTTCCAGGAGGAATGATTCTTCGCTGCAAAGAATGGTAGATTATCCAGAGGTTCCCCTGTTCCATGGGGTGGATATCTGGAGCATAATATCCGTTTTTTTTTTTTTGCAAAGTCGTTTTTTTTTTTTGGAAAAGTGTCATTCTCACCCCAAAAACAACGTTCTTGTGTATTCTTTTCAGTAGTCTGTGTATGGACTATTGACGGTGTATTATATGAAAAAACAGGACTACTATCTGTATGTCTCTAACAGGCTTGAATCCATCCATTTCGAAGCACATTCATAGCTGATGAATATCGGAGTCCCTCCCGCAGTATTCAACAAGGAGCCTTCCAAAATAGGTGCACAATGGGCCGTGTGAAGGACCACAAGATGAATAAAAGAGCAAAAATATCAGGTCGACCTCTTTGAATCCCTATAGACATCTAACAAGTGTTGTAGGGCCCAGAAAAAGTGGTTAGGCTGCCCAGTCCATTTTGCAGTCGCCTCTTACCAGCCTTGGATTTGTAGTGGACAAGCACTGCATAAAAATATCATAATTCGAGGCTTCAAAGCCACCGAGAAATTGGAGGCTAGAAAAATACATTCAATACCGGGTAAGCGCGGAAATGAATGAATATCTGACAAATCTTGCTCACGCAGGTACGGGCTGGTGTTCTGTGGAGATATGAACATTGACATTTGTCGTGCGGTTGGTTTTTACAGCTGGTTGTACAGCGTTAACTGCTCAAGCAATTACGAAGTCTCGCACTCTAGGGGTGTGGCTCCGTGACCGCGGCCAGCTCAAAATTAAGCGACCTATACAGAAACGTAGAGCTTACTGTTCCTACATCCACAGAGTCATCTCCACTGGAACCGATCACTTTGTCCACGGCCTCTATTCCAGCGTTCCACCAAAGATAAAGGAGTCAATGGAAGAGAACACCCAAACGGCCTCCAAACGACATTCGTCGCAGCCAAAACATGCAATTTGAGGCACGCTTCGGGATAGGCTTGTCTCCCGTCGTTTCATCCTAGGATAGTAAACAGGTGGACACCGTAGATGTCGGCCCCCCCCCCTTTGCCGCGACAAGGCGCTAGGGCTGTCGAACCGCCCTCTGCCGCTGTCGGTTGCTACATAACCCTGCTGACAAAGCGCGGGCCGCGTTTGTGCGCAGCGTCCCACTTGCGACCCAATTCACTGGCAATTGGAGCACTAAAGTCAGGTTCGTGAAACTCTGCTAACGCGCCTCTTCTCTATTCCAGGGAAATAGGGAGGGTGTGCGGGCGTAATCGGTGGTCAAGTCGCTTTCTTTCTCTTTTCCAGACCTCTAGCTTCATAACTGAACGTTGCTTTCACACCTATTTATCCCGAAGCTTGAATTTAGTCAAAGTAGAAGCTGCAGGGAGCAGTAGCCACTTTCGCGACTGAACGAGCGCTGCTGAAAACATCATCGGTGCTTACTAGGTTGCAACAGCCGGTCCCCTGTTGGCATGCGATGCCTTTCTAGAGCCAAATCTCCTGCTGGCCACCAAATCCAACCCAGCTATCCCACATTTCCGCCTTGGTTCAACCCTTTGACTACTGGTGGGATACCATGTGTCCCACTTTCCGTAGTCAAAGACACTACCACAGTTTCAGGGAAATAGGGAGGCAGGAGCGCTCCATTTGATGGCTAAATTGTGCACATATAGAAGCTTTCTAATTCTTACTATGACAGTAATCGTCAGAAGCTAAAGCGAGTCATCCTGCGTAAGTTAATCTTTGACTACTGGTGGTACACATGTGTCCCACTTCCGTAGTCAAAGTCACTACCACAGTTTTGGCACTTATTGAGATCGGAGGGCCCGCTTTATGGCGGAATTGTGCACAACTAGAAACTTGGTAATTCTTACTCTGTCAGCGAAGTATCAGAAGTCTAAGCGAGTTACGCTGGATAAGTTGATAAGCAAGTCGTTCCACAGGTCACTGGGCAGTGTGCACAGCTCCCGAAAGGTAGTTTTCGAGTCTCACTCTTTGTATTGTGTTAATGGTTCTAATATTTCCCTCAATTATTGTGAAACAGGTGAAACATAAGCAAACCGATGACGGATGGAGGTTTTTATCGGCCGCAAGCCAGTTAGAGGACGACAGCGTTTTACGACTGCGTTGGAAATTCCAACCGGAGTTTTGTCAGTTCGTTTGATGCGGAAGTGGTAGTAGAACACTCCTATGATGACGCAGCTTTCGAGCATAAAAACCAGCGAAAATTCGTTAGAGGAGAAGCAGCCGGTGGGCGCAGGCTCCTGTAGGCAGGGGAGGCAGCACATCTTACAAAGAAGCGGCTTGTAAATCTCCTTTTCCAACGCTCCCAACCAGACATTGCTAGTTCCACGAATGAAATGTGATAAATGTGTATTTTGTGAATGGTATTTGAACTGTTCAAAAATGCTCATTCGAGCGGAGATGGTGTGGTGACAGGAGGGCCACTGCCGCGCACATGGTCTCTGGAATCGAATCCCAAACCCAGCGCGCGTCAGATAAATTTCCAAAAATAATTAGTTGTTGCCTACACAAACGCCATTGATAACTTTGTATTTTCAGAAAAAGCTTGTAGTCTAAGGAGTTAAAGCGAAGTCTCCGGCAATCCCGCAGAAGCGGGTAAGCAATAGGTAAGAAATGCAAAAATGAAAGGGAAGCCAACAAACCTTAAAAAAATAAGGCGACCCTATCGTTTAGAGGTGACGATCCATCCACCGGATAGTGTGAGGAACGCCTGAGTGCGCCAGAAGTGTTTTGAGTACGTAGGGATCGAGAAGCATATAGGGAATAAGGGAGACGCAGACGGAGAGCGAGGAGACTAGTGGAGTGCTCACAGACCTGGAAATCAAAAGCGGCTTGGCATCCTGCAGGCAGCCTTCTTCACACGGAAAAACATTTGTCTGCAGATGAGATTCAACAGTGCTCATCACTAATTAAGTTGTTCCGAAGAAGAGGTGGCGATATGCATTTATCTTGCTAATGTGAATTACTTGAAAAAACACCATCTGTGTAAATTTGAATGTGCCTCGCAACAATGAACTGAGAACTTCATTCAGAACCATACTTCAGTAGACTAAAAGCTCTCCACCACCTAGAAAGCGCGTCTACTTCCGTAGACGTTAAGTCATCTTCTCAAACGGTAATGTGGACGGCCTCAGAAGATCCGCTCAAACATTGAACCCGAATACATCAGATGGATTACAGTATAACGGTAAGCGAAATATACGGTAGGAATTACAAGAATTACATACTGGCTAGTGAAAGATTTGAGTGAATTACAAATCAAGAAAATACAACTAACATAGACAGTCAGCCTGGAAACGTTATTGTAATCACAGAATTACCTAGGAAATGAATTGTAAGAGGTAGAGCTTAAAGGCTGAACGATCGATCAATACCACATTTACAATTACAGTGAAAGACATCTGAGAAAGGCAGAACTTCATTCTAAGGCTTTACGTAAAACCTCAAAGTCGGTCACATACCAGTCAGCTCGACTTCGCACAGCTTCTCTAATCTGAAGGTATTATTCATTTAGGTCATTTCAACTTAATCACTGAATCATTGGAGCTCGATCACTTATTAGAGGCTATCCAGAAGGTGTGATAGCGCTTATCTCTCCTGGGAACACCTTAAGTTGAAATCCTACCTGATTTCCCCCGAAACCGATGAAAGCATCAGCTGGTGGAGCGGCTTTCCAAGTCTGTGGCACCATCACCAACCATAACCAGTTGTTTGTAGCCCTGCTTCTTCAACAGACCCATGACCGCTGGTTTACCAACCGAACCTATTCATTTCATTGCGCGGAAAAAATCGAAAGCTGTTCTTAATCAAACAGAGTAAGGGAGCTCCTTAAAAACGTAGGTTCCACAGGCGGTTAGATCACATTTTTAGAAGGGATACTGTAGAACGCGCGAAAGGACCACTTTGGAATGACAATGGACTTTTAAGACCAGGGTAAGCATTGCGTCTGGATACCAGGGTCAGCCATTGCGTGTGGAGAATTGCAAATACGTGAACTCCTCCCTCCCCTCATCCGTCCTCCACTCTAGTCTTCCCGATAACTTCACTGAACCTACTTCACACCTTAACTCCAATCCGAAATCGCGATGAGCGCAGAAGGGAAGAGAGCTGAGAAAGAGCGACCAGCCAAAGCGGATGCAGCTTCCAAAAAAACTGCCCTCCCATGTATTTCAGATCCCATTCCATCGAGAAGCCTCCCCTCTCTCTCTCTCCCCCTCCACAAAATCTAAAAATACGACCCTCCCGTCTGATTTTGCCAAACGGACCACCAACCATATTTGGAACTAAGGCTCTATAACGTATCCTTTGTAACCGAAAAATTAGTTTATATTGCCTGAAGGGCTCTTGGAGTTCGAAGTGCAAGGAAAAAACCACGAGTAGCCCAGAAGAAAAGGTGGAGAGACGTAGTCAAGAAGGACCTAAGTGACAGGTCACGGCCACGATGGAAGATGCCCTGGACAGAGCAAAGTGACTGAAAAAACAGCGGACCCTGCGACTGCGCGGGACTAAAGCTAGGGAGAAGAAGAATAAGATTGCCTGAGTGGTTCTTGCAAAAAGAGCTAACATCACGGCTGGAGTGACTTGTTACGGTAATGTGGAGCGTCACGAACTTTTCTAAATGATACTGTAGAATGTTGCACTTACATCCTTGCTTCCCGAATCGCTTGTCGGCTCATTCTCATCGAAACCGGCATAGTTCTTATTCATGTCGAACAGAATCTCGTTCGCATATATCCGTTTCCTGTCAATGCCTGAAAGCGACGAAATCTTCCAAATTTCCTCAACCAGAAATACCATAAGTGTCCTGTCCTTTGGAGCTTCCTGGTTAACATGTTAGTCGCTACCAAATCAGTCACCTTGGCTTACCTAGGATGTCAGCCACTGGCAGGATGAGCCGTCGGAAACCTCCGGAGACAAGAAACACGTCCGTGCCACGTTTGTGTAACGACGCGACCAGTTCTCGGATGCCGGGAGTCAGCTGGAACATTTACAGTTTTTTAGTTCAGAGTTATAAGCTGGGTCTTTCAAGTTCGGAATATTATAATAGTAATCGATAACTAATAATAGAAATATTGAAATATTTTTAGCTACAATTA